CTTCATCGCGTTTGCAGATCGATTGCATGGTGGAGACATTGGACGCTGTCTTCAAGGACGGGCGCGTGTTTCAGATCCTCAGGCAGGCTGCCCCTGGCGCCGCCGCCGCCATGCAGGCCGCCTCTGGCGCCGCCGTCGCGAGCGCCGAACCGCTGCCGTCAGTGGGTGCGCACGGGGAGGCGCTCGGCTTCATCGCGACCACCGTGATGTCAAACCTTCGGGGGAAGTATATTTTCTTGGCTGCTGGGAATTCCGCGTTACTCCGGGGTGATCCTCTGGGCGCCCGCAAGGCAGAGTTGCTCGAGAGAGTGCAGAATGCGGCCTGTTTGACGAAAGATCGTCTTCTTGCAGATTTTCCTCAAAATGCCATCCGCTCGGCATTATCGATGTTCGATCGCCGTCTTATTCGGAAAGGATTCGGGGATCTGCCCTCTCTGCAGACGCGGAAGTTCATTCTCCGAGGCGTGAGCAGAGTAGCCGCGGCGCTCGGTTGCGACGAGGTGGCGGCCCAGCTCCAGTACCGCGACGTCATCCCCTTCATGCTGGAGCAGTTCTCTGCTGGCGAGTCTCTAGTAGAGAAAACCAATCAGGAGGCGTGGGCTCGTTTGCTCGACGATGCGTTCTGGCACCTGGCGTGTCCGAAGCGTTTGGTAAATGCGTCCAGTGTCCTCCGCAAGCTCATCCGTTTTTATATTTCCATAGAGGACGGCGAGTGCGCAGTGGAGCGCGATTTCGCGTTCCTGCGGAACGAGCAAGCGGAGCATCGCGCGTCAAACCATGATTTCCTCGACGATGCCCTGATCGCGAAGCTCAGTGGTCCGCGAACCGTCGCTGAGTTCGAGGATTTCGCTTCGTCGTCCAGAGCAGAGCTCGCCCCCTTTTCTAGAAAGTGCGCCTGCCTCTGGCGGCAGCTCTACGGCGCGCGCTGCGGGCATTACAATCCCGCCGCTACGCGCGCGGCCAGTCTCAAGAGGGCCGAAAAAAGAGGCCCCCTGCGCCGCGCTAGTCTTGGCGTTCTCGCTGCCGCCCGCTTGGCCGCGCAGTGCAAGAGCGCGCGCCCCCGGCGCAGCGCTACATCCTGGCGCAGGCACGGATCGGAGCGCCCGCTGGAACGATGCTTCGCAGAAGTTGCACGACCGATCTGCGAGCAACATCCCTGGCGTGACGCAGGTTCGGGCCGCGCCAGGTGGCGCTTTCTTGCAGCCTCCGGGCGTTGACCTCGCCGCCAAGCGGGGTGCTCGTTTGGCGCCCCAGGGCCCTTCACCGCGCAGCCAGGTGGCGGTGCTCGCTGCCTCTGGCGCCATTGGTGATTTGCGACTGCGGGGCTCCAGAGAAGCGCAGGGGACTCGCAGATGCGCGGCGGGCGTTTCTTTGGTTGTTGTCAGGGATCTCGCCGTTCTTCACGACGCGGCGGCGCTGGCTGTTGATGCGGGCGTGGCAGTATCGTTCCTGCACGTCGTGGCGCTGGGTTTGGACGTCGTCGCCAGTGCTCAACTGTTTGCTGTCAGTTACGCCCCGGCGCGTTTATTGCCGAGCCAATGTATCAGACATGCCAAGGCATGCGAAAGAAAGGCCAAGCTCTTCGTGGAGGAGAGGCTGGACGTGGAGCGCCCATCTGCGCGCAGCGCACTGCGGCGTATCGAGCGCGCGCCTGCAAGTAAGATCGTCGCGGGGGCTGCCGGTGAGCCTGCTTCTGGCGGCGTTTTCTTTGGTGGGCTCTTGGACGTGGTGAACTGGACTCTCTCCGTTCGCAGGACTTGGAACGAGGTAGGTCCGAAGGTTCTCAGCGTTGACGGGGCGCGCGTGCGAACCTGAGGCGATAAGCGTTTTCCTCGCCATCCCCATCGCCCTCGCCATCGCAAGCTGTCGCCTTCCAGCAGGTCCTGCCAGCTGCTGCTGCTGCTGCTGCATGTTGCTCCACCTCCCGTTCCTGCTTCTCCCCCAGCCTCTCCTCATCGATCTGTGGGCGCCAAATTTCCGAACGGCGAAATTGCGAGGCTCAACTGCGAAACCAGAAAAAAGCTTTGAGGATTAATTTTGAAAGCAAGAAAGTTGCGAGATACCATTTGCACAAAAAATTGTTTCAGGACTATTTTTTATAAACGAAAAAATGCGAGGCCCTTTTTGGAAGGAAAACATGGCAGGTCCAATGCTGAACTATATAAAGATCTGAGGCCCACTTTTAAACAAGGAATTGGAGGCTCAATTTCGGAAATTATTTTAAAAAAGGTGTGATGCGCATTTTTTTAAAACCAAAGGGAAATTGCGAGCCACCAAAAATTGGAAACTACGAAAGTGGCGATGACAAAATACAATACTTTGACAATTATAAAGTTGCGAGATCCACTTTAGTTTTTTATATCAAAAACAGAGAAGCTCCGCCGCAAAATTTTTGCAACACAATAAAGTTGCGCTTTGAAAAGTGAAAAATGCTGTGAGGAAAAATGTTGAAATTAATTCAAGCACGTTTAAAACGTGCTCGGGGTTTTTTAAAAAGAAAACAGAAATGCGCGTCTTCTGGGAAATTTTTACGGCAAAATTGCAGAAACGCTGCGAGAGAAAACTTGGAACATGCATTGAGGCCCAATGTAAATATAACATAAAGTTGAAACAAATGCATTGAGGCCCCTGGCGGCGAAGGTGGAGCGGCGCCAGGTGGCAGAGGCAACAGACGAAGCCGAGGACACAGACACATTGAACCAAGTGGAGACAGCGCTCCGCGGAAAAGATGTTGCAGCGGTGCTGCCCATGCCCCGTAAAAAAAGTCCCTGCGACAAATGCATTGGGGAACTTCATATATATGTCTGTATACTGGTCCCCTGTATGCGCATACCCGTCCCCCCCCCCTTTGGCCAGGACACGCCGCCCCAACACGTCCGTAGCCTGTTTGGGCTTACAGATCCAAGCATTTCTTCGGGGTCACGGCCACGGGCTGTCTCGTGGCCGCGAGGCCTGCTCCGAGGGCCGCCATCCGCCCTCCTCGCGCTCCTGGTGGCAGCACTGGGAGGCGAGGGTCGCTGGCCTGACTTGTGGCAGGCGCGGGGCTGGATGGCCCAGGCGGCTGTCGAGGACCTCGACGGAGGAGACGAGGACCTCTGGGAGGCGCCGGAGGCCGTCGTGCCCGCGCCCGTGCAGGACGGACCCGTGCCGATCGTCCCACTGGCGGTGGCCCAGGGCAGATGCTACTGCAGCACGGGCTACACTGCGGGCGGCCTCGAGCAGTGCCGGTTCGCGTGGCGGGCGCTGCGTGTCTCCAGCGCAGAGCCGCCGTTGCGCTTCGTGAAGGCCGAGTTCCTCTTCAGCGACGACGGCTACTGGGACTGGTGGGCCAGCCACCCTGGCCAGCCGAGCGCGATGACGGCGCGCCCGCTCATCCACGTGTGCCCGGAGAAGCCGTGCTCAGTCTTGGAGGGGCCGGGGACGTGCACCGAGCTGATCCACGTGTCGGACGGGGCGGAGCTCGGCCTCGGGGACCTGCGGGCGCTGTTCGTCGAGTGCCAGGAGACGAACCCCGAGGCGGCTTGGCCAGCAGCAAGCCTCGGGCCGCTGGTCGCCGCCGCCGCCCCCGCGAGGCCCGCTGCGGTGGCCAAAGCGGCGGGGCGCCCACCAGCCGCAGCAGGTCCTCCCAGGGCCCCGCCTGGCGCTGCCCCTTTCGACGACTTCCTGAGCGTGAGAGGCTCGTCGCGCGGGCCTGGCTCAGAGCTGGCCGCGGGCGAGGAGGCGGCTGCCGCGGGCGGCCTGGGAGGCGAGCTCGAGGGTGCTCGTGTGCGCTTCGAGGAGGGGAAGCGGGCTGCTGGCGACGTCAACCTGGACGGCTTCCCCCTCGGCGCAGAGGCGGCTGGCGAGGGGCCTGTGAAGAAGCGGTCACTCGGAGACCTGCTGGTCGAGCGCGCCGCGAAGCTCAAGAGGGCCGCCTCGGACGCGGCCCCCCGAGGGTCAGGGGGCCCCGTGCCCGATCGGGCGCTGCCGGGAGCTGGTCCGAGTGGCGGCATGGCGGAGCTGGCGCAGGCGCTCGCGATGGCCATCCGCGAGGGCAAGGAGGGTCCCCCTGGCGACGGCGGCGGGGACGGCCTCGGCTCCTCGGACCCCGCGGCGGTGCCGCGCGACCTGGCCACGAAGAGGGCCTTCTGTCGTCGGATGGCCGCCGCCTCCCCAGGCCGCTTCACGGAGCTGAGCCTGCAGCAGATGGCGGACTTCCTGGGCTCGCAGGAGGGGGAGGCAGCCGTCGACGCGACGGGCCCGATCGCGCTGCGGTACCTCCTCACGATCTACCTGCCGCAGCATCAGGTGAAGGAGATCGGCGTGCAGACGTACCGCGAGCTCCGCACCCTCGCGGAGGCGGTGGACCTGCTGATGCAGGGGAAGGCGGCCCACGCCTGCGACCTGATCGTCCAGCGCCTGAAGGCGCTGCAGGTGGCAACGACGGATGGCTCGTGGGCGGCGGCGAAGTGGTTGGAGCTGATCCCGCCGCGCGACGAGCCCACGGCCATCCGCAGCGAGGAGGGGGAGCTCATCCGCAGCATCCAGCTCGGGGAGATGAAGCTGGGCGAGCTCTCCGCACGGCTGGCCTCCGCCAAGACGCCGGGATAGGGCGGAGGCCCGACGGGGGCGCGCCCGCCGCTGGCGCCTCCGTCTGTTGGCCAGGCAGGGGGGGCACCCCCTGCGACAGCGCAGGCGAAGGGACCTGGGGGGCAGGCCCCCCGCCAGCCGCGGGCTCGGCCGCCCCGCAGGAAGGCTTCCGCGGCGGCTCCACCAGCCCCCCTGGCGGCGGCCGCGGGCGGGCCTCCCCCGCAGGCCGAGGGGTCGGCAGCCCCACCGCCGTGGAAGATGTCCTTCGCGGAGATGCGGAAGAAGTTTCCGAAGCAGCCGGGGGGGCGAACACCCAGCGCCGCCTGCGAGCCTTCAAAGCTCGTGCGGCGGCGCGCCCTCGTCGGACCTGAGCGGCGGCAGCCTGCCGCCTGCCCCGCGCTATGGTGGAGCCTCCTCAGGGAGGGTGGCCGATGCCTCCATCAAAGGCGCGAGCCCTGCGAAGGGCGCTGGTGGGGGAGCCCGCGGCGTGGGCCAAACTCGGTTTACCGAGGGCGGAGATCGTGCCACCCTAGGCGGGGGGGTGAGGGCGTCGCGGAGCCCCCGCTGGCCACCGCGCTGCAGTGCTGGTCCGACGAGCTCTCCTTCGGCTTCGGCAAGAGCATCGTCGCGGTCGACCTGGCGGCGCGGCTGGTGGCAGCAGTGCGACGCCACCCAGGCAGCCTTGGCCACTTCGCTCGGTCGTTCAGCATGCGTGCGGACACATTTTGTGGGAGCGGAGGGTCCTCGAACAGGAGGGTTCGGGACGCCCTGCCGTCTCCCCTTCCGTCGACCGAGGAGGTGGACCGCTGGCTGGCCCACAGTGCCTTGCCCAAGGCACGCAGGTGCCGCCGCCGCGCCGTGGCGCGGGAGGTCAGCGAGCAGGCGTGGCTGCACCTCAGCGTGGTGGCGCTCAACTACGCGTTCTGCGGCCGCGCGCAGGAAGGCTGGCGCCACAGGCCGACCCTGTCGAAGGCGCAGACGCAGGTCTACGTGCACCTGAAGAGTCGAGCGGCGGCCCTGGCGGAGGACCCGCTGGCCATGGTCGTGGTCCCCGCGATCGACGAGCTGGCGGGCGGCTGCGGGTCAGCGTACGAGGGCGAGACGGGCGTGAAGGCCCTCCCCTGCCGGCTCTGCGAGCTGGCCCCTGGGCTGCCTGCGCGGGAGTGCGCTGCCACGCTCGACGCGATCGACTTCGTTGACGACGAGGTCGGCGCCTGGCTGCGCCGCCCCGAGCTGGCGCTCCTCGACCAATCCGACTGGCCCGACCCGCTGCCGCGGGCCCGCGTGAACGTGGAGACGGATGCGGACTGGGAGGAGCTGGCGCTGCACCTCGTGTCGCTCGGCATCTTCACCACGCTCGCGGAGAGCGAGCTGGCCCGCGTGAGGGGCGAGCCCGTGCTGAACGGCCTGGAGAAGAAGGGCACTCCAGCGCCTGGCGCCACGCGGGTCACCAGGCTCATCCTCAACATGGTGCCAGGCAACTCGCTCCTGAAGGCCCACGTGGGCGAGGCGGCGCTGCTCGCGGCCTCGACGTCCTGGACGTCGGTCGTGATCCCCGAGGGGAAGCTGCTGCTGTGGTCGGGCGACGACCAGAAGGGGGCCTTCTTCGTGTGGCGGGTCCCGCCCGCGTGGCACCCCTACATGGCCGTGGGGCGGCCGCTCGCGGGCGAGCTGTTTGGTCGCTCGGAGCCCGTCGTCTACGTGACCTCGGCTGTCATCGCCATGGGCTGGTCGCTCGCGGTGCCCGTTTTCCAGCACATCCACCGACGACTGTGCCGCCTGGCGCCGCCCCTCGGGGCGGGGCTTCCCTCAGACGGGGAGTGGCGCAAGGATTGCGCGCGGCCCCTGGTCGAGGCAGGCAGCGGCCAGGACGCTGGCTGGTGGCAGGTTGACATCGACGACTTCGATGCGCCGGAGATCGTCGAGGAGGTTCTGGCCCGCAAGCTCGCGGGGACCCCGAGCGACCTCCAACTGCAGGTCCGCGCCAGCTACGAGAGGGCAAGCGTCTCCTTCTCGGCCGAGAAGGCGCACTGCAGGCAGCTGAGGGTCGAGCGCATGGGCGCGGACGTCGACGGCGTCAGCGGGCGCCTCGCGGTCCCCGCTGCCAAGGCGCTGGCAACTGCGGGCCTCTGCTTGGCCGCGGTGCAGCGGCGCCTGGTCCCGTGGCGCGTGGCCATGGCGGCCCTCGGCAAGCTCGTGAGGGCCTTCGAGTTCAGGCGGCCGCTTTTCGGGATCCTGAACTCCGTCTGGACGCTGGCTGCGTCCTCAGCGCAGGGGGCTTACCTGGACGCAGAGATGGTGGAAGAGCTCCTCATGGGCGTGATGGTCCTGCCGCTGGCCGCCTCCTCGCTGCGGGCGCGCATCGACGGCGTGGTCACGTCCTCGGACGCGTCGGAGATGGGCGGCGGCGTGTGCGCGTCAGCTGGCCTGCGCGAGGACGTCGCCGCCGCCTTGCAGGTGCCGAGGACGGTCCCCGACCAGCTGGGGATAGGGGCCAGGCTCCTCAACATGCCCGAGGACCCCGCCCGACCGTGGGCGGCAGCCAACCCACGCGTCCCCGCCAGGGCAGTCCGCAGGGTGCTGTCGGTGCTGCTCATCGGCCTGTTCGACGGCATCGGAGGCCTCGCCGTCGCCTTCTCGAGGCTGCCCGTCCGCATCGCGGCCTTCGTCGCGGCCGAGACGGACGCCAAGGCGAGGCGCGTTGTCAGACTCCGCTGGCCAGGTGTCATCGACTGGGGCGACGTCACCCGTGTGGGCAGCGAGACGGTGCGGGATTTGTTCGAGGCGTTCGGCGGCCTCGTCGACCTGGTGGTGGTCGCAGCGGGCAGCCCCTGCCAGGACCTGTCACGCCTCAACGTCGGCGGGCGCGGCCTCAGCGGCAGGAAGTCCTCGCTGTTCCACGAGGTGCCACGCATCCTGGCTCTCCTCGCCGCCGTCTTCAAGGACAGGCTCGTTTGGTTCGTGGAGAACGTGGACAGCATGTCCGACGCCAACGTGGAGCTGATCTCGGAGGCGCTTCAGGTGAGGCCGACGCTGGTGTGCTCGTCGGTGTTCGTGCCGTGTCGCAGGCCGCGCCTGTTCTGGACGAGCTGGGGCGTCACCGCATCGGCGCCTCTTCGGCTGACCGACCGCGGGGTCTACGACGAGCTGGTGGGCCCTGGCGTCCCGCTCATGGACCTCGCGTGGGAGGACGAGGGCTGCTCTTGGCCAGGGAGACCAAGGTGCTTCCCCACGCTCGTCTGCTGCAGGCCTCAGCCCTCCTTCCCCTCTGCCCCGCGTGGCTTCGCGGCTGCATCGGGGACGGCTCGTCAAAGGTGGGCTGCGGACGGGCACAGGTATCATGTGGCTTTGTACGAAGACAAAAACATGATCTGCACCTCCTCGTTCCCTTCCCTGCGCCCCCCCACCAGCGAGGAGAGGGAGCGGCTCCTTGGCTTTGATGTGGGGTACACCTCCCTAGCCACCAAGGGCTCGAACCCTCAGGACGCCTCCGACGCCAGGGCCTTCCTCCTCGGCAACAGCTTCAGTATTCACGTCGTGGCATGGTTGCGCCAGCAGCTCCTGCACCGCCGCGGCGCGCTGAACAGGGAGCCGTCGATAGAGGAGGTGCCCCCCGTCCGCGCGTGCCGGGCGACGCGGGGCCAGGCGGGGGCTTTCGTCACGGAGCCATGAGAGCCGGACACCGCGGAGGCGAGGCAGCTGGTCCTGCACTACCTCAGCCGCGCGGAGAAGGGCGGGTCGGACGTCAGGCTGGACTACGGCGTCCCCTACCGCCCGCGAGGTTGGCCGAGGACGAGCCTGGACCCGTTCGTGTGGAAGTGGCGCGTGGTGGTCAGCATGGCGTGGCCTGGCCGGAGCTCCACCCACATAAACGTGAGAGAGTTGCAGGCGGCCACGGCGGCGATCAGGTGGCGCGCCCGCAAGGTCGCGCAGCACGGGAGCAGGTTCTTGCACCTCGTCGACAGCCAGGTGGTCGCGGCCATCGTGACGAAGGGCCGCAGCAGCAGCAGGAAGCTACAGCCCATCCTGAGGCGCTGGATGGCCGTCGTCGTGGCGGCCGACATGTACCCACTGATCGGCTACGTGGTCTCAGAGGACAACCCTGCGGACGAGCCGTCGAGGAGGCTGCTGTGGCGTGGCTCGAAGCCCAGGAGGCGAGGGCGACCCGTGCCGCGCGCGCGGCCGCTCACCGCAGGCCCGCTCCCGTGAGACGCCGCGGGACGCGCTGCCAGACTCTCTCTTCCCTGAGGGTGTCAGCGGAGACGCGGCGGCGCTACGGGCGGGCCCTGCGCGCGCTGCTGGCCCACTTTGGGGCCGAGCAGGCGGGGGCGGACGCCTTGCGCGGCGACCCCGAGGACGCAGACGCCCTCGTCGCGGAGTACCTCGAAGGCCTGTGGGCCTCTGGTGCGGGCATCGCGGCCGCCAACAACACGCTGGCGGGGGTGTGCTTCGCGGTGCCTCGTCTGAGGCGACACCTCGACCTGAGCTGGACTCTCCTCAAGGCATGGAGGCATCATGAGCCAGCGTCCAGGGTGCTGCCGCTCACGACCGAGGCCGTCGCGGCCATGGCAGGGTTCGCGTGCGCTGCAGGTGCTTTCGACGTGGCCGCCCTCCTTCTCGTCGGCTTCGAGGGCATGCTCCGAGGCGCAGAGGTGTTTGCTCTGACGGGGGGCGACGTCGTCGACCGCGGCGAGCTGTTCATAGTCCGCATCAGCTCGTCCAAGACCACGGCGGGCAAGGACTGCGCGGAGGCAGTCGTCGCCCGCAGCAGGATGGCCGCGGCGCTCCTGCGGATTGCGGTCCGCGGCCTTGGTGCAGGCGCGCGGCTCTCATGGAGGACGCCGTCCCAGCTGCGCGGTGCCCTCCGCGCCTTGGCGAGGGGCCTGGGCCTGGCGGGGCCCATCGCGTGGCGCAGCCTGCGACGTGGCGGGGCGAGCGCCTTCTTCGTCAGGAGCGGCTCCATGGAGGCGACCCTCGTGGCGGGTCGGTTGGCCTCCTCCGCCACCGCGCGCCTGTACATCGAGGGCGCGGTGGCCGACTCAGTGCGCGCCCAGCCCGGGAGCGAGGCAGCCCGCGCCGTTGCGCGGGGACTGCGGCTCCTGCAGCTGGCCACTGTACGCGGCCACTGCTCGCGCCCAACAGTGCTTGCCGAAAATCGGGCGTTTGTCTTCGCTTCGGCGAGGGCAACCTCCCTCCCGCCGTGGGGCCGCGTGGCCCTCTCTCTCTCTCTCTCTCTCTCTCTCTCTCTCTCTCTCTCTCTCTCTCTCTCTCTCTCTCTCTGGGTCTGGTTTCCGGGGTCCCCTGGGTCCGCCCGTTGTGTGGGGCGTTCTCTGTTTGGGGTCCACGCCCGTCTCGCCTTCTCCGTGCATCGTTTCACCTCCTCCCGTCGCCTCCCCCCGTCACCTCCTCCTCGTGTGGAGTGCATGGGCGTGGAGTAGGGGGTGTGCTGGGGGGGCCAAACCAAGGGGCTGCGGAGGGATGTCTGGCACGCGTGGGGCCGCCCTGTGCGGTGCCTGCCCCACGTCAGGCCTGTGGCCTGGCGCGGGTTGCGTGTCCAGACCCCCCCCTCGTAGTCTTGTGGCTTGCCCCCCCGTGCACCCCCGAATTAAGGACCGGCATGAATGTGCCATTTGCAGGGGGGGGTGGGAGTTAAACACGGACGGCCTACGTAGCCTTAAGGCCAGTAGGTGGGGGAGTTAGATAGCGTAGGCCCCCTCCCCAGATTGCTGTGTGCGAACGGTGGAGGACCACCTCGCACGCCTTAGGTGGCAAGCGCGCGGTGCGGTAGGCGCCGCGTGCTTGCCGCCTATGTAATGCGTGGCGTAGGGTACCCTTGCATCCCGGCGCGTGCAGTAGCTGGGGGGTTTGAGGGGGGCTGGCCTACTCTGACCATTGGCGTGTCCGCACGCAAAAAGGTGGGGCAGGGTATGTCTGTATACTGGTCCCCTGTATGCGCATACCCGCCCCCCCCCCCCTTTGGCCAGGACGCGCCGCCCCAACGCGTCCGTAGCCTGTTTGGGCTCCCACCCGCGGTCCACCCCTTCCGTGTTGAGGCGCGCTTTCTGCTGGTGCCGTAGCCCAGAAGATAGCGTAGGCCCCCTCCCCAGATTGCTGTATGCGAACGGTGGAGGACCACCTCGCACGCCTTAGGTGGCAAGCGCGCGGTGCGGTAGGCGCCGCGTGCTTGCCGCCTAGGTAATGCGTGGCGTAGGGTACCCTTGCATCCCGGCGCGTACAGTAGCTGGGGGGTTTGAGGGGGGCTGGCCTACTCTGACCATTGGCGTGTCCGCACGCAAAAAGGTGGGGCAGGGTATATATATATATATATATATATACATATATATATACATATTGAAACAGAGTTGTCGATGCGACGATTTGTTCTGATAACAATAGAATTGTCGGTTGGGACGAAATTGCGCAGACCAATAAAGTTGTCGCTGCGACAACTTTTTAACAAACAAATGAAACAAATAAAGTTGTCGGGTGGAAAAAATATGCCGAAACATACAGTTGTCTGGTGTAAGAAAATGGAAAACAGTTGTCGCTGCCGCTAACTTTGTTGAAAACCTTGAAAAAGTTGTCGGGCGTTTAAAAAAGTCAAAAAAAGTTGTCGTTGCCACTAATTTTATTGGAACATTTCTGTGGACAGAAAAATTAAAATCGTCTGGTGTTTTTCTTGCTGATGTAAAAAATAAATAAATATAAAGTTGTAGCTGCCACTAATTTTATTGAAAAAGTTTTGGGGTACAAAAATGAAAATACATAACGGTGTCGGGTGTAAAAAATGAAAAAAAAAATCAAGTTGTCGCTGCCACTAATTTTACCGCCAAAATTTTGAAGGACAAATCAACAACAAAAAATGAAGTTACTGGGTGTAGAACAATTGACAAAAAGTAAAGTTGTCGCTGCCACTTTTTATAAGAATAAGGAAATGTCGGGTGTGTTTTTTTTTTTTTTTTTTTTTTTTTTTTTTTTTTTTTTTTTTTTTATATATATATATATTATATATTATATATATATATATATATATATAAAGTTGCCGCTGCCGCTAATTGCATTTGTTGGGGAAAAAGTTGTCGCGGCCATTATTTGTTTGATTTTTTATATAAAAAAGAAATAAAGTTGCCGGGTGGAGGTCGTGGAAGAGGACAATGAGGGGTCATACCTTATTTCATCTAATTTCAAAACCGGCTGAAATAAGCGAACGCGAAATCTGCATGTTGGGCTCTTGAGTTGTGGGCCTCATTAAAAATCAATATGTGGCCATTACTCAACATCACAACATAAGGATTTCGCGTTCGCTTATTTCACCCGGTTCTACAAAAAAGGCGAAATAAGCGAACGCGGAATCGGTATGTTGGCCAATTGAGTTGTCGCATCTTGGTCCGAAGTTGCGGGGGGGGGGGGGGGGGGGGGGGGGGGGGGGGAATTTTGGGGAAAAAAAAAAATGAAGTTGTCGCTGCCGCTAATTTGAGCAAGCAAACTTTGAAAACAAGTAAACTTGTCGGGCGGGGCAAAAATCTCGAAAACTAATGTCGCTGCCACCGATTTCAGGAAAACAATCGGGGGAAAAAAATAAAGTTGTCGGGTGGGCAAAAAAAATGGAACAACAATAAAGTTGTCGCTGCCGCTAATTTCACTTGAAAGATTTTGGATAAAATAAAGCTGTCGGGCGGGAAAAAGCTTCGAAACAAATGAAGTTACCGCTGCCATTTTTTAATGTGAAAAAGAATTGTCGCCGCCACTAATTGCATTGAACATTTCGAGAAAAAAAAGCTGTCGCGCGGGAAAAATGGAAAAAAACAAGTTGTCGCTGCCACAACTCTATTAAAACAAATTGAAAAATAAAGTTGCCCCTTGTTTTTTCCTGTTCAAAAACTTACAATTGTCGCTGCCGCAACTTTATTGAAAATTTTTTAAAGTCGCGAAGTGGACAAGATTCGAAAACATGAAATTGTGGGTGGGGGTTGCGCAAGGACCGCGCGTCGAGACGGATCGCGCGTCGATGCAGCAGGGCCGCGTCAAGGAGTCGCGCGCCAGGCGAAGCGCTGCGTCGAGCTCAGCTTTCTGGGGCTGCGCAAGCGCGAGGTGTCCTTCGCGGTGCCCGCCAAGTGTTCTTTGATTCCGCCGAAGTTGGCCATCGTTATATACGCATAAAAAATGTTTCTTTTTTTTTTTTTTGTAAAAAATGTCAATACATACATCCACAAAAAATTAGTAGGTTCAGCAATTTTCTTCAATTCAAACCGTGTGTCTCTTTTGTTGTTCGACATCGGGTATGTCAATGTTAATTGTTTACAGACATATTGCCCTCTTTTTGTTTTGTTTCTCACAGTTGGGGCGCATCTGTAGTAGTTTCATAGCAAAATGAATTCGCACTTGCGTTTTCTCTTCTGTTTTTATTGGTTGCATTGTTTTCCAGCTTGGGCTTCATTTTTCCGCTTGCGACATTGGGCCTCAGATGTATTTTCCCCAGAAGTGGGCCTCGTTTTTTGTTTGTTTTTTTTCTTTTTTTTCAAAATTGGGCATGCTATTTGTTTTCAAGATTGGAGCAGGGAAAGGTCGACGAGGAGGAGGTGGGGGCAGAAGGAGGAGGACAAGGGGAGGCAGGAGGAAGAGCAGGAGGAGGAGAAGCAGCACCAGCACCAGCAGCAGCAGGAGCAGCACCCGCAGCGGAAGCAGCAGCCGCAGCAGCAGCAGCAGGGCAGAGAGGATCAGGCTGCGGCAGTTCTGGGCTTAAGGCAACCGCCCGCGCGCATGGGCCAGACGATTCCTTCTTCTGGAGGCGACTCCCGAAAAACTAAAGTGAGGCGCTGCCTCTGGCGCGCCTGCTGCCTCTGGCGCATTGCTGACTTTGTTGCCGATGGGGAAGGTTTGCCGGACCAGCGAGCAACGTTCCCGCGATCATGATGGTTCGTGCGGGAATCGTGATTGTAGAGAGTTCCGCCCAGGACGTACGGGGCAACACCTTAAGATGAAGCGGCTGCAGAATCTCCTCGGGGACGTCGCAAAATGCTTCGGTGACTTCGTTCAGGGCGGGTGCGTCGCTTCGCTATGTCGCAGGCGCGATGTTCGCATGGGCATTGCGGCAGGCATTTTGCTGCGAGAACACTTCGCTGCCTGTGGCGCGTTGCGCGTGGAGGTTCTCTGCGTGGTGCTCATCTGCTACTGGAAGTGGGCACCCGCGTGCATCCTCCACTATGTGCTTCGCCGCAAGGGCGAACTGCTGGCGGCCGACGCACAGGGGCGCGCAGCCTTGTACGAGCTCGCGCGGCAGGAGGCCATGGCGATTGTGCAACGCAAGTTTTTTTGCGGTCGCTGCCAATCGCCGCGAGGCCACCGTGGAGCTCGCACAGCGATCGAAGGTGCGTGCTTCGGGCGGCGCGGCCGCTGATTTTTTCACCTATCACCTCGTGATGAATCCGGCCAGGAGGAGGACAGGGCAGTGTGAGTTCCAAATCCTTATGGACGGCTTGCGCGCTGGCCGCTTGGAGGTTGCCACCGAACTTGTAGCGGCGTCCTATGCTATGTCTGGCGCGACCGCTGCCTCTGGCGCAACGTACGTCGAAAACGAAGTGCATCTGCGCGCGGTGGGGCTGTGGTTGCATGCGACGCATGCGCGCGCAACGTTCTTGCGATGGCTTTTCAGGGCAGGGGGTGTCCGACGGAGTTTCTCCGAGAGGGATTGGCTTTTGCTTGCTGGCATTGGCTCTGGTGCCGAGAAAGGGATCGAGGCTGTCGGGTATATCGGATACGAGGGCGCCGCGCAGATTTGCACACTTATCTCTCAGGATTTGCGGGCTGCCTCTGGCGCCGCGCATGAGCTCGATGATCTCATTTGCTTCCTCTGCCTTTCCCAGAACGACATGGAGGTGATCCAAGGTGAAGCGATGCCAGGGCCAGCACCCCCTGTTATTGTCTTTGGTGACTCGGGTAATCTTTTTGCTGGGGTTCCAGCACGTGGGAGAGTAAGATTGAAGCAGGGTGGTTCCTCGGGACCTCCCGCCGCCGCAGATTCTCAGGCTGCCGCTGGCGCCGCCTCGTCCGCTGGTTGTCCTTCTGATGGCTCCTCGGGGGTTGATGTCGCCGTGGCAGATCCTGAGGCTTCCTCTGGCACCGCCATTCGCAGTGGTTCTCCTTCCGCTGGCTCCTCGGGGCTTGATGCCGCCGCAGATTCTCAGGCTTTCTCTGGCGTCGCCAGTCCCGCTGGTGCTCCTGCTGGTCCTACTGCAAAGCGCCCGCGCTGGCGCGCTGGGGTTCTGCGGCGCCCGCGCTGGCGTGTTGGGGTTCTGCGGCAGCCGCGTCCGGAACTGAACTGGCAGGTCGTGCGGGACAGGTGCCTCTGTGGCATCCTGGGGTTCTTGCCGTTTATTGCGCAGGCGCGGTTGTCTCGGAGCCCACGCAGTGAGCAGCGCAAAACCATGTCTCTCGTGCA